GAAAGTTACATGATTCTTTAGGGGTTATAGAATTACAAGGATGGAGTCTCTCTGCGTGCACACGGGAAAATTTATGTCTTGGGTTACGACACGTTTGTTCGCGTTTTCAAGACGTTGGTCAAAATGACGAAATGAAAAAAGCAGAAGAATGGAAAAATAAAAAAAAAGTGTCAAAGAAGGGTTTTGGTCCGTTTGGCACTTGTGATTTTTATGGCCGCAGTGACTCTAGTGGCTCTAGGGTCCACAAGAGGTCGTAAAGGTTGTTTACCACCGTTACCCTTCTTGTAACATCAGATGACCAAATATACGAAAAGAATAAGTGTCTCCATTGACGGTTTTGTATCTTAAGGAGAGACTGAGGGATTGAAAGTGTTTGAGTATTTGGTCATAGAGGGTCAAATGTTGCAAGTTTCAAACGTTACGAGAGTCGTACCTTCCAAGGGTCATTCGTCGCGAACATCATATCTCGCAAGGGTTATGCTTAGCATGAAGAACTGTGTAATTTACCCTATGTAATCCATTTTATGAATCTCATAGAGAAATGACTCGGAAAGTGGTCCACCAGTTTGAATATTATGAACTTCCTATAGTATTCAAATCGCTTGATCACTACTTTCCTCGATCAGAAGGATCAGAAGAGTTAGAAGATTCACAAGCGTCATATGGTTGGAATCTTCAGAGTGAAATGCTCGAAAAAATGTGCAATGCGGTCAAGAGGGTCATATAGGTAAGATTCGGGGAACCAAAGAGTTTAGAAGGGCCTTATGGATGTGATAGTAAGAATCAAATGACATGTGCATAAGAAGGTCATGCGGGTCAGACGTGACCGTATGAGCGAGCTCGAATAAAAAATTTGTTTCACATTCATCGATGATTTCTAATTACTTCTGAAATCACCTGTTTTCTTAATGATTTCTACTGATTTCCGATGATTTCCAGAAGTCATTAGAAATCACTAACGGAAAAGGAAATTACTTGATTTCCAGTGATTTGTGGTGATTTCTTGCTTGATTCTCAATCAAGTGGCCCAGTGATTTCCTAAGTGACCAGCATCTCAGATGCTGCACATGAATTTTTCTAGAAAATTTTTCTCAGCGCATAATTTATGTTCTTTTTACTGAAAACAAACAGCTTCTAGCTCTTAATTCCCTTATGCTTGCCCTCATCCAATTAGTTAATCATTTTAGTTCCTGCCTTCCGTATTTTCCCTTTATACTTTCACCCAAAAGCGCAATCACGAATGCCCTTCCTCTTCACAGTTACTTCTCACTCAATTCCATTTGGTTCACTTGGTTCCTGTTCATTCAGTTTAAAATTTGTATTTACCCTTGCACGTTCTCTGGAAAAGTTCTGCCAGCAGCAACACTCCTCAAGTGAGTCTTATACGGAAAAACAGATGCAAGAGTGAGTACAAAACGACGAGGCAAAAGTCGTAAACGAAGTCTTTTTCTCTTTCACCTTTTTCCAGCGAGAAAAACAAGACCGTCGACACTAACGGGGTTACGAAAAGTTCTTCTCACTCTACTTTAACTCGACGCAGCCTTCTTCTCTTTACTTCTATTTCCCATTTTGTGACACTCGTGTTTGAACTTCCACCTTTAAACGGAAACGTATAAAATTGGATTGACTCTAGTTATTGTTTTTTCGTCTTTTGGAGATGGAAGAGGAAGGTAATTTCAAGTTACGAATGGAGCAATTAAACTTTTGGTCACGTTTAATTATATGTGACGACTTTGCTGTAGGGATGCGAGATGACATCACGTTTTCAAACCCATCGTGATGGATGACGGCTGACTTGCTGAGCAGCAGCGAATGGTCGACATGTGTGTTTCGTTCCAAAATGCAATATTTTTTTAGGTTAAATTTCCAAACTCATCGTAAAAATTGAACATCACATACAATTCTATTCTGAATGAATTAAGAATTCAGAAATGTTATTGCCTGAATTTTCAAAATTTTCAAGGTTTTTCAGTGCCATATAGACCTGAAAGTTGAGAATTACCCTCAAGGCAAGAGTATTTGAATGGGTATTCATACTCATTCGGATACTCTTACTTGGATACTTATTCGGGTACTCTTATTCGGATACTCTACAGACCCATCGTGACGGATGACGGCTGACTTGCTGAGCAACAGCGAATGGTCGTCATGTGTGTTTCGTTCCAAAATGCAATATTTTTTCAGGTTAAGAGCATCGGTCGTTCGGGTACTGGTACCTCTACGGTACTTGAATATTCAAGAAGTTAACTGATTCATCAACGAAGAAATATACAGAAATTTCAGATAACTTTGTCGTTGTTAAAAATTTCAAGCTTTTTCACTTGAAATTTCAAGAATAATTTTTTTTAACAGTGAGCTGATAATGTCGAGAGGAAACTCCCCTTCCGTTCCACCCCCCCGAGAAATACATAGGAGATATTGTCAATCTTAAAATTTCTCTGCAAACCGACACAACTTATCTGTCATTCTCAATTTATTACACGGAGAGAAATTTTTGATAAAAATTATCCTACCGTTCTATAAAAGTGTGTCATGAGTCATCGTTTCCTTATTTCTATCCCAATATTTAGTAAAAATTAATACATCACGATCAAATTTTATTCTACGTTAGAGAAATTTCATCCTGACGCATAATAAATTTTACCCTTCCAGTCCAATAATTTTTATTTTTATCAAGATAAAATTACTCTAACGTAGAATAAAATTTAATTATCATATATTAATTGTTACTAAATTTCGGAATAGAAATGAGGAAACGATGACTCATGATACACTTTTATAGAACGGTAGGATAATTTTTATCAAAAACTTCTCTCCGTGTATAAGGAAGATATTAAGGAAAGACAATTGAGCGAAATTACGCTCAATCAGGAGTCATCCAACTCTCGTATACCTCCTCGAAATCGGTACTCAAGCCTGAGCCAGTCTCAACTCCCCTGTATTTGCCGTAAAACCGGAATCACGGTTACCCAATAGCGCTCGTAACTCGTGCCTACTCTAACCTATTGCGTTCCACCGTTGGATTTACGGCTCTCGCCATGAGCTTTTCTATTTTTTTCTTTTTCCCGTTGCGGTTACCATTGTAAAGCGAAAAATAAAGCATTCAACACAAGAAAATATCCAAAAATAATTCTTCTCACGGTAGAATGACCAAAAAATCCAAGTGTTTGTGTACACGTTAGCCCGCCGGAATGTTTGCGTGTTTCACAGTGGAAATGTATTTTCTCTCCACATTTGAAATATGCGCCTGAACACATCCCCTTCTACCTATTCAATCCAACTTCGACCCGGCGAGAGACATCGCGAGTGAAAGAATACTCGGGCTGGAGCTATATCACGAATAGGTCAGACCCGTGTCAGTGAGGCGGGTGAGAACTGGCACGTTTTATTCTGCAGAAATATATACGTGAAGGGAATTCAAAATTCTAGGTGCCATTTCTGTTCTGCTGTTACATCACGTTCGACCTCATACCAACCAACCGTAACGATCGGGAGAATCTTTGCATCTGCATACAGATAGGAGTGATAGTGAATCTAAAGGGTATTACTCAATGCTTGTTATCCTTACGTAACTGCGTATCTATGCTGCATTATTCTTATTGACGAGGAATGAATTTCTATGATGTTTGATATATATTCTAAGTCGGACAAGCGAATTCGTGAATGATTCTTAGGTTTTCCGGGAGGTTATGGATGACTTATTGCGCAGAACTATTCGAAATAGCAGCGGGATGAGATAATTGAATCTAGAACGACTAATTAATTTTCAATATGGCACAAGGAGAGCATCGCAATTACTGAATGCAGGCTATACGGCATAAGCTGTGCGCCGGATAAATGATTATGCGCATCGGCTGTTGAATTCAGAGTTCACTTCTGTCCGTTAAGATATGAACTGCAGTCATGTTAGCTGTCTGATCTTATAAATGAGGCAATAAAGAAACGATTGAACCTTGAGTAGATTATATTGATCACATCGACACCTCAATAACAGATGAACGTATTAGCGTAGGGAGTCTACAGCGTTCACGCTTCACTGTCATCAAATTGTCGATATTGATCTTCAACTGAATTGACTGTATTTCAACTAACTGTGTCTCCTCATGAAATTCGCTCAAAGACACGGCTTGAGCTTGTAAAAGTAAATGGGTTCCATTGTCTTGAGCAATCGTATACAGATAGGAGTGATAGTGAATCTAAAGACTATCGCTCAATGCTGAGTATCCTTGATCTTCAATATATATTCTGCGTCGAACGAAGGATTGTTGTTTTCCAGGGGAGTATGGATGACTTATTGCACAAAACTATTCGAAATAGCAGTGGTATGAGACCATTGAATTTACAACGACTAATTAATTTCCAATATGGCACAAGGAGGGCATCGCAATTACTGAATGCAGGCTATACGGCATAAGCTGTGCGCCGGATAAATGATTATGCGCGTCGGCTGTGGAATTCAGAGTTCACTTCTGTCCAGAAAGTATGAACTGCAGTCATGTTAGCTGTCTGATCTTATAAATGAGGCAACAAAGAAACGATTAAATCTTCAGTAGATTATATTGATTACGTCGACAACTCAATAACAGATGAACGTATTAGCGTAGGGAGTCTACAGCATTCACGCTTCACTGACATCAAGTTGTCGATATTGATCTTCAACTGAATTGACTGTATTTCAACTGACTGTGTCTCCTCATGAAATTCGCTCAAAGACATGTTTTGGGCTTGCAAAATTAAATCAGTCCTATTATCTTGGGCAATCTCATTTCTGAATAACTCCCGCCATCGTCGTCGCGAATGCTTTTGTGATAATTGAGGTTGCGGTTTATGCAACATAGCCCTTGTGCACAGCACAATGACGACTGAGAGCTTTAATAACGTGACATAACTTAATGCGCCAAGAAGATCACGTGACGCGTAATCGAGAGGTTCAGGCTTCAAATACCCATACTGGTTCATCTCGAGTTTGTGGTTATGCACGTGATGTTGTGACTCCTTACCTGGAGGTTCGGCGGACAGTGATCGAGCAGCTCGAGCATGTGCCTGATGTTCTGAGCGTCCTGAATAACGAAGTTCAGCTCCATATCGAACTCTCCACCGACAAGCTGGAACAAAAATAAAAACGGGCTTTAGTAATCGAATAGCTACGTCCATACCATCGCCTCAACTTTTATTACTCCAGGCATTGCAAAAGGATACTGCAATAATCAAAAGCCACCGTTAACCCAGAATTCGACAGATGCTGATCAGACATTCCCAGTCACTCTTCCGTATTTCACGGTCGAATTCCACAGATGTGGCACCCTGTACTGGCTCATGCGCGGTGGATTTGGCCTCGCGGCCGACTGCCCGAGAATAAAAAAACTTGTTTCACGAGTTGAAGCGGGATGCGACTCTGGACGCCCTGCGGCATCAACCACCTTGTTTCATTTTTTTTCTATTATCAAGGGAAATCCCTCGCCCTTTGAACGTGCCTCGGCTTTTTCACTTCGTCCACTAAGAACATAGACTTAGACAGGTCAGAAGACGACTCGGGCCAGGTTCCTGGTTACATAACAGCAGATAACTTGAGGTAGGACAGGAGGAGAAAAAGCGATTTTGGCTTCAGCAGGAGTGATGGCCTAGTGGGACAGCGATTTTATTCAGTTGAAACTCCCCGCTCCCTCAGACATTCTAGAAGAATGGTGAGAGATGAAATGGTACTGTCTTGGATTTAGGGGTGTTCACTCGTGCCAGTGAGTATTGCCTTTCACCCCTGCCACTAAACCGGAAACGTCGCCTTCTGTGGCGAGTGTAATTTCCGGTTGAGTCTTGGTAAGTATTGAGGATCCAATATAAACTGGCACTTCGATTTTTCTCATTATACGAATCCCATCGCTTTATTTCTCCTACACAATTCGCAGTCTCCAAGGCTTCTGGCATCCGCCATAATAGCCGAGTTATTACGTAATACTGGAGAGAACTTTCTGAATCATCTGCATGGAAATACGCCGGGGATTAAACAGACTGGTGCATACGGTATTCGGTGTATTGATGTCCTTATGGAGCATCGTGACCCTCCGCTCTCGAATATTCAATTAAAGACGATCTATCTGTTGTCGTAAATCATCGAGATAGAGGTGACTTACGGGCTTTTGGTATTGCAATGCTTCTCAGAATTTCTGACTCGCACCAGGAAATTCGCAGCTGATGTAGTTGCCCAGAGATGTTCATGGATCCGTGTATTGAAAGTTTTTCTCTCGCTTTTCAGCAAACGGAAATCGCGCAATTGAGTGACTATGAAAGTTCATTCGGGGATTCTCGACCGTTAAGTTTGCTGACGTCACGAGAGCTTTTATCCAGTGCTGAAACCGGTGTTTTTTATCGGCATGAATTCATTTCACCAGCGGCGGAAATTTCTTTGTTGACTCGACGTCGGATGGGATTTCATTTACTAATAACGTGCCCCATAAATTTCGGAGAAGCTTTCGTCTTTTTGCATCGTCCTGAGCTATGTATCCAAGGATAGACTTGCGTCACTGTATTCTGATCTATACATTGGTGCGTTAGTTACAGTGATCCATTTGGGAAATCTGTGGTCTTTGCTTCAAAGATTGGATATGTATGGTTGAATGATGAAATTGCACTGGAGAGGGGTTGGAAAAGTGGTGGGGTAACTGTGGAGAATGGGTGAAGTATGGACAGACTGCAAATGAGATCAGGGATTCTGATAACCGACAGCTCGATTAAGTTATTCTTCTATATTTTTTGTTTATTTCGGAATGACGAATCATTACACATGTCATCTGTTTGCAGCACTCCACTCAATTCTCCTCCTGCTAATTTCCACGCACACGGTAAGGGGTGTCAATTAGTTAATTAAATAACTCGAAGACGATCGAGTAATTTAGCAATGGTATCTTTACTTCATAAATACGAATGATTACACTCATCATTTCCCTAGAAATGTACTATTGATGTTCTATTTCCTTCCGACCCATGAAGTTTGCTGACATTGCGAAGTTTTTCTCCAAGGCTGAAATCAGCGTTGTTTATGGGTAGCAATCCATTCTACCAGTGAAATAAATTTTTTTGTTGATTCAACAACTGAAGTTGTCGAGCTATGTATCCAAGGATAGACTAGCGTCACTACATTCTGATCTATACATTGGTACGTTAGTTACAGTGATCCATTTGGGAAATCTTTGGGTCTTTGCTTCGAAGATTGGATATGTATGGTTGAATGATGAAATTGCACTGGACAGGGGTTGGAAAAGTGGTGGGGTGACTGTGGAGAATGAATGAAGTATGGACAGACTGCAAACGAGATCAGGGATTCTAATAACTGACAGCTCGATCAAGTTGTTCCCCTATATTTTTTGTTAATTTCGAAATGAGGAATGATTACACATGTCATCTCTTTGCAGTACTCCACTCAATTTTTCTCCTTCTAATTTCCGCACACAAGGTAAGAGGTGTTAATCACCGAAGACGATCGAGTTATTTATCAATGATTTCTTTACTTCATAAATACGAACGATTACTCGCGTCATTTCCCTAGAAATGTACTATTGACGTTCCGTTTCCATGAAGTTTGCTGACATCACGAAACCTTTCACCCACTGCTGAAACGACGTTTTTTTATGGGCGGTAATTCATTTTACCATCAAAGAAATTTTTTTTGATGATGCGACAACTGGCGTCGGATAGGATTGCATCAACTAATAACGCTCTCTCACAAATACCGAAGTGGCTTTTTTCTTTTTCCCTCGCCCTGAAGACGCCCAACAAATTGACAAAGTTCAAAGTTTCACCGCAGTAGTTGGGTAATTATATACACCGTAAGAGTCGACTGTTAGAGAAGCCAAGGTAGCATGATTTTGTGGAGAAAAGAGGAGAATAGGGAGAGTTTGGGAAACTACAAGTGGAAGCACTAGATGTAAACTTGGGAGGTTGGAGTGATGGGGAAAGGTAGATGCTATTTCCATCTTAATTAAATCCTCAAGGTTACTACAGGGACTGGAGATTCTCATTATGCGATATTAGTCATTGACCCGGGGTGCATGCAGCCCTGGAAACCTCGCGACTAACGACATTTTGGAATTGAAGACCAGTTCTACTGTACAACCGCCACAAATTCAATAAGAGTGCCAATAAAAACGGGGCGACGTTGAAGTTGAGCTTTCTCCGGGGAACAATTGGCGCCCAGTGCTCAACGGGAATTGCGGTGTTCCTATTGCGCGAATATATAGGAAAAAGACGGTTGGTGCAGTTGTTTAATACTGGAGAGTCTGGTGATCGCACGTCTCGACCATTTGGAAAAATCATTCTTCCCGGGGGGACGATAAGCCGCCCCTGAGAAACTGCGATATACGTGTCAGTAGCATGATGCTTTTTGTTGTACTGTATATATATTAACTCATATAACCGGAGTGGCAAGGCTTCAGGAGCTATTTATCATCGTACCGCCTTGCTGTTTGAGATTTTGCCAAGGGCTGTCGGTAGCCGTACAGCATTTCTACCTTATTCTATTATACCTTTGGAAGAGGATTCGCAATTGAAAAAAACTGTGTGATTCCTTGTTGAATTTAACATGATTAATAATAAACGGAGAATATTACACAAAAAAAAGTTACTTTTGATCAGCAGCAAACGTACTTCTACCCAGTACCAAGGGGTTTCTGGCGAAAAGGCAAATTTTTGTATTTCCTCGACGTTACAAAACAACTTGATGCAAGTATCATGAGTCCAGTACCTCAGTAGTCGTCACAAGTATTTTGTTACTTGGGACAAGTAATAAAATTACTTGTACTGAGTACCTGGCTGATTTTTTTCAAAAGTACCAAATAAACTCAATATAAGTTGAGTACGAGAACTCAAAAAAGTTTTTCTATCTCTTCTAAAAACCGAATTTCGTCAAAAATTCAAAAATCCAAATAATTCCCGTTTTGTGAGCAATAAAATCGAAAAGAAATTGAAAATCATTTTTCGAAGCCTTTTAAATGTTGATAACAACATAAAACAGAAATTTCAACAAAATTGAAATTTTGTAGGTTGGAAAGAATACCAATAATTCTCGAAAGCATCCATAAAATTCGAAATCTATTGATTTTTTCCTACAAAATATCTTTAATATCTTTAATATCTGTTGAACATTTCTATTTACAAAAATGCGAAAGAAAGCCCATTCTATCCGGTAATAATATTCACTTTTTTAAATGAAGTAATCAATTGGAAGTACTGAATTTAAGTCCTAAAAGTACTTGAGAGAAGTTGAAAAATTGCTTTTCACTAGTACCTTTGGTACTTGTGAAAACTACTAAAAGTACTGGCAGTAAGTAGTGATACTACTTCCTCCCAGTACCATTTCTATTTGATCGCCAGATGTGGTACTTCATCCAAGGACACAATGTGTACTTGGGACGAGTATTTTCAGAACTTTTTAAAAGTAAACATTGCCCAAGTACCGGTTTGTACTGGTGAGAAGTAATTTTTTTTGTGTATTTGGTGAATTGCACAAACTAGTTATTGAAAAAAATAAAATACCAATCAGTTGATGAATTTTCATGTCAAATCGGTACCGAAGCGATAAACCGGGTTCAGTCGATTTTGATTTTTGGTCAGTTTTCGATGAATATCTCGGTACCTAAAAGAGATTGCAAAATTTGTCTCATGACCTTTTTTGTGGGGTTAATTAAGGGCTATAAAAAAGGTCGTGACAGAAATTTTTCTTTCTCTTTCAGTTTCTGAGATATTCATCAAAAACTGGTCAATAGTTGAAAGCGACTTAACCCGGGTTACCGCTTCGCTTCTGAAATATCTTATTATGCAAAGTGCTGCACATGAACAGCAGCTGCATTTGCATTTTTCCGTGAAATTAAAAATGAATAATTTGTAAGATAACGTCTTCACCGAAAAAAGTAACGATTTATGAGAAAAAGCTCTCAAAATTCACCGCAAACAATTGATCCCCCTTCAAGCTGACGATTGACTACAATTATTGCGCGGCAGCCCTTCCGCCATTTACGAATGCAGCTGAGCGAGTAGAAATGAGGAATCATACGAGTTACCCTGCACAGGTTAGTTGAATCAGTGAATTAGGGTTTGGTCGGTAGCGCAGCCACTA